GTGTGAATCCTCCTGAACTTCTCCTCAGAAATTAACTTTTGTGTAAGTTTGTTAAATACCTCTATGGCTGGATGGTTTGCACTGCAGCTGATTGTCTGGGATCACACTGACCTCAGTGTGCAGTTAATATCCACAGGAATTTACTATGTCCCTTCACAGGAAAGAAAATCTTGCCTCCTCCCCTCTCCATTTAGAAAGACTGAGAGTCCCCTAATAGAGTTCGCAGAGATTTCCTTATCCATTATGCTGCACTACAGGTCTTCCTGTAGGAGGGGTGCTCAGACTCACTTCTCTCTGTTTTTAGTCAAACCATCTGTAACAATAGCAGAAAGTTGATGAAATAGCTGAGATCAGGGAATGACTGCTGTTTGTTTAGTTTTCTGGCCTGTTGCAGTATTTCCTGCACAACATCAGTCTTCTGTTTCCAAGATGTGTAATACATGGAGCAGCATGATCATGTAAGCACTGTTTTCCCACAAGATGTTCAGCTGGTATCTTCAAAATGTCCAGTCTGTATACTTTCAACTTTTGTTGTGTTTGGTTGGAGCTGAAAGAATTCAGCACCCTTTAATTCTGGCCTCTGAAATCTCAATTGCAGTAGAGAAGGTCTTGAGAAGAAATAACTTTGAACTTCACACCAGCTGCTGTCAGGACCTGGAAATGTATATGAGTGGCCATATAAGAGTTGCAAACTAGAACTTTTTCACTTGACGAATAACTGTACAAGACCAATACTCCACATTGCCAAGCTCAAGAGGCTCTACTTTATTCATTCTGCTCCCAGAACTTTTATCTAGACTTCAGCCATACCATATGCAAATGTAAATATAAATGGAGCTTCCAAGCCTCTCTTAACTTCCTGTGGATTGGGACTTAAAATGAGACCTACAACTAAGCCAGTACTGGGAACATCTTTTCCACCACACTCCACATTTTGAATCCATCCACAAGTACAGATTTTTCACATGGTCTCAGAGCTTTGTTTTCTTGTAAATTTGCTACCTAAATAGCAAAGTCTCTGGTATCCTGCACAGAAGAACAAGAAAGAATAATTTGTTCCTTTGCCCTCCTTTTTCTCTGAGAACTTTTTAAGGACCAGGCAGTGAAACATTTTGGAGAAAGGAGTACTTTTCTTTTGAAATTTATTTCATTTGTATCATGCTTTTGTCCTTCTTTTTTTAGGACACAACTTTATTATGCTTCATCCCAACCCTTACTATAGTGACTGATGTACAATCAAGGACAGAAGAGTTTTTCAGCACCCATACTAATGTGACAAAAATCAATCTTAATTTTTAAGCCACACTCATTGCCACAGTTCCAAAGTTCAAAGAACATGGCTAGGTCAGATGCAGCTAAAATATAGCATGGGCTAGGGAGAACAGTCTTTCTTGTGCTTTCATATTTTGAGTGCCTGAAGAGTTATCCAAAGATATATGGCATAATATCTTCATATATTGCTACAATGAAAAATACATTTCATTTACAACATAATACCATTTGCTAGGTTTAGAAGTGTCACACAGTCTCAACACAGTGAAGTCACAACAATTTTTTATTTGCCAGGTGCAATTTGGAAGGAATCTTCTCATGAAAATGAATGTTTTTATTGGAGTCCTGATTACTAAGATGTGCCTAAAGTTTCATTCAATAACATGGGGCATGTGCAGCACACTGACATCTCCACTGAGAAAATAGCCGAGCCAGTTGGAGGCATGTCCTCACTTGCAAAGGTCAGCCAATGTGAAGTGTAACAGCTATTATTTTGGGCTTTCAAAGACTGGGAAGTCTGTACACTGTTTTTTCCCTTCTCTCCCTAGAGAAAGGATAAATACCAAATGGGACCAGCTGAGATCTGTGAACTTAACAGCTAGAGATGGGGAATAAGCTATCTCAGATCAGTGGTCACTACAGATTTTTGTTTCAAGATTTTTGCCCACCTCTTCATGTGGGCTTGTTTTCCTTTCTTTTTTTCCCCTCAGGAATATTCAACTATGGGATTGTATGTGAACTCTTGCCCTGCATAATATAATCTTTCTTTCTTGATTTTTTAATCAGAGAAGCAGCTTTGAATTCCTTGTATGTCACCATTGCAGCCTGGTTTATAGGGGATTTCTAACTATTAAATTTACATAAGACATCTCCTTCTGCAGTCGAGTCTGGACTCTGGCCTCATTCTGGGTCTGTGGCAGCTGTGACTGCTCTCAAGATTCTATGCACACACAAAAAAAAAAAGGCTTGTCTTCTTACATACACACTATACTTACTCTTTAAACTTGTTGAGCCTTCAAATGCTCCTGTCATTAGGCAAATCTTGAAAGGTATGGTGAAGGCTGGGCACTTTCATCATCCCTTTGATATTCAAGAAAAATATTACAGTAAATTCGCCTGAGTCATTATTTTGACATATTGAGATGCAGATATTCTCATAATGCTTTCAATAATAGTTTACTACAGAGACATTATTTAACCATATATTTGTTTTTAAACTCAAGGAAATGTGTGCAATGCTGGATCAGTTTTGCAGGCAGGGTGGAGACTTTTTGTGCTTTTTCAATTGGATGAATAATCCAGATGCAGAAGGTTCATTTTTTTTGTTGTTGTTTAGACAAAATTTCCAGCAATAAGATTTTGCTTCTTCTATGACCCAACAAAGTACCATGAACCAGGCAAGCAGTCTGAGAGAATTAATACGTCCATGAGTTTGGGCTGCTTCAAATAATCCCATTTAGGTCTTTCCACAACGCTCCAAATTGGAGACTCCCTTTGTTTTGTTCAAAATATTTGAAAGTACTGAAATAAAGGATCTTCTTATGGTCTGACCTTAAAAAGTGTCCCCTAGCCAGCAGTGAGGTGGAGATGAAGAAAATGTATTTCAAGGAAAGTATTTAAGGAAAAAAAAGTAAATTAATGTTTCACTCTACAGTGGAAAATAGGTTCCTGATTTAGTGGCTTAAAAGCATTCAATTCTTCAACATTCTGCCTATATAGCAGTGCCCACTTGAGGCTTTTAATTGGAAAGTTCTTGTATGACATGAAGACTACTTTTGACTCAGTAAAATTACCAATGTGCATAATAAGCCTGTGTATCAATGCTGTGTAGGTTACCTATTGAAGACAATATTTCAATGAGAGACCCACAGTGATAGAAACAAGCAAGGGTTTCCAAAGATACAGGGTTTCTACCCTATGCCACCATAAAGCTGGTGTTTCTTTCCATTTCTTTAGGTTTTGCCACATAGATCACACAGTATTTTTTTGTGGCCTGGAAGTCATTGCCTAAAAGATATTTCTTCTGGGAATGTCATCAAATTAAGGAAGCAGAGGTTATTGTTTTTAGCACAGATAGCTTCCAATGAAGCAGGAAAGACAGACAGCTGTGGTTTCCAAATCCCTCACAATCATTGTTAAAATTGTTTGACATGTTGAGAGAACTGGCATGCACTTTTCAAAGGCACAGAAATTTTCATACTTCAGCAGCAGAAAAATTCTCTCTGCTTAGTGCACATGAAGTAGTTAAGAAGCTAAATACTTGTAATAGCTTCATAAAACAATTACACTGTTAATGTTACCAAGTGACTTCAAGGATTGCAAAGAAAAAGAATGACAAAGCCTTACTCAAATGCAAGCTAAATCACTTTTTATCCAAAAAGCACCCTCAGGAAGAACATAATTTATATTCATATGTATTTTTTTAACTGTCATTCCTTCAGCTTGATGGATGTCAGAATACTACATTTTTAGTAGACTTGAAATTGCTGGAGAACTTAAATACACCCTGTGATTATATGCTGCAGGGCCGACAGCTGAAATGCCAAATGGCCATTGCAATGCTCCTAGCAACTATATTCTCTCTTTGTGGCAGAAATTCAGGTGCTTGTCTTCATCTGTAATTAGCATTTGATATTTGGAATAGGCTTTGGTTCCTCTTTTTTCCTCTGTCTCCTCTTTGTCTCTGTTTTTAGGCCTATTGACACAGAACACTGCATAAACTAACATCTCAAACCGATGAGGTTTCCTACTACATTATTTGATGTAATGGAATTGCTGACCCCTTTTCTGTTAAGAAAGGGCATGGTGACCATTCCAAACTCATAACTTTATAAGGGTATCTAGGTAATAAAGACAACGTATACACAAGAAAGAGTGAAATTAATATGTAATTGACTAGCAGCGAATCATTATAATTACCAATAATGGAGGGGCTAAAAATAATATGTTGAAGAATCTTATAGCCCAGATTAAAAATATATTATAGATATAGATTATAGATACAGATTATAGATATAGTAAAAGTTACAACTATTTTCTTCTTATAACTTCTGAAAAAAATTGCATAGAAAATGTACAGAAAAAAACCACATCTTTTTGTTATTGTTTGTAAGTAAAAGAGAACCAAGAGATGGCAGAAATAATAATCTGTATTACCTGTCCCTTTGTCTGTGAAGTCTATAATGTAAAGCTGAAAGACTAATTGTGTCATATCTGTCATCACCCGCACTGACATTTTCATGGAAGGATTAGCATGATTCCTGCATGTATTATTTCTATGAACAAAATAGAAATCAAAAGCAAATTAAATCACATCAACGACATGAGGAAAGCAGACTTCAGGCTGCTCAGGGAGTTTCTGAGTCAGGTCCCCTGGGAAAATATTTTTGCAGGAGCTGGGGTTCATAAGTGCTGGTGACTCTTCAAACATCACCTCCTAACGGCACAGGAGGAGGCAATTCCAAGATGTCAGAAGTCAAGCAGACAAGGCAGAAGACCGGCTTGGCTGAACAGGGATCTGCTCTTGCAGATTGGGCAAAGAAGGAAGGGGCATGCCCAGTGGAAGCTAGGTCAGGTGACATGGGAAGGATACAGAGATACTGCTAACCACTGTAGGGAGAAAATTCAGCCAAAGCTCAACTGGAGCTGGAAATGGCCAGCACTGTGGGGCACAACAAAAAGAGTTTTTTTTCAATTACATTAATGGCAAAAGGCCATATAGAAACAATATGGGTCCTCCACAGAATAAGGACAGTCACCTCACCAACAGGGATATAGACAAAGCAGAGATATTTAATGCATTATTTGCCTTTCTCTTCAGCACTGATGATGGTCTAAGGAGGTCTCAATGCCCAGAACTGGAGGACCATAGCTGCAATAAGGATCAACTCTTAGCTGGCCCTCAACTTGTGCAGGATCTGCTTCTACAGTTAGATCCCTACAAGTCCACCAGGCCTGATGGAAACTGTCCAAGAATCCTCAAAGGCCCATCTGATGTCATCACTGGGCCTCCCTCTATGATTTTGAGGAGATCCAGGGAATCTGGAGAGAACGCAGTTGACTGGAAACTGGCTAATGTTGTTCCAATATTCAAGAAGGGCAAGAAGGAGGACCCTGGAAACTACAGGCTGGTCAGTCTAACTTCAGTGCCTGGTAAAATTATGGAAAAGATGATTCTGGGAGATATTGAAACAACATCCGGAGGACAATGCAGCCATTGGTCACAGCCAGCACATCTTCACAAGGGGAAAGTCCTGGTTGTCAAACTTAATTGCTTTTCATGACAAGGTAACCTACCTAGCTGATCAAGTGAAGCCAGTGGATGCAATATTTCTGGAATTCAGCAAAGCTTTTGATAGTGTCACTCACAGTGTTCTTCTGGACAAAATGTCTAGCATATAGCTGGACAACCATGCTTTACATGGGTGAGAAACTGGCTCACAGGTCGAGCACAAAAAGTGGCAGTGAACGGGGTAACATCAGGCTGGCAACCAGTCACTAGTGGGGTCCCACAGGGTCCCATCCTAGGCCCAGTCCTCTTCAATATCTTCATCAGTGACTTGGATGCAGGACCTGAAGGAATTCTAAACAAGTTTGCTGATGATACAAAACTGGGAGGAGCTGTTGAGCAGTGGAACAATCTCCTCAGGGGAGTGGTCACAACACCAAGCCTGCCTGAGTTCAAGAAGCATTTGGATGATGCTTTTCAGCACAGGATGTGATTCTTGGGGTGCCCTAGACGGGGACAGGAGTTGAACTCGATGATCCTGATGGGTCCCTTCCAACTCAGCATATTCTATGAATCTGTGATTCTGCAAACTGTTACACAACAATACTTGAAAATACTGTACCAAATTGGTTTCTGCACTTTCCTTTCTGAAAAGCCTGTTGCTGCCCATGGCTTGCATCAGCAGCTGACTGTACGTCAATAGTTACAGGAGGCAAAAGAGGGAAAAATCTTTATTACTTTTTCTATAAAAACAAGACTGTCCCCTCATAGCCTGTGAGGTTCCCCTTACAATAATGAGGATATATTGATACTAAGACATTTAAAGGCAAAAGGAGAATCCATCATTCTACTGGTAGTAGTTTTCTAGGTAGTTTTGTATCTGCATTTTCTTTGCATTCCTAGGAAATGGAACTTGAATTCAAGTTCAAGTAGTTTCCTGTATATGAAGTACATGATGTGGCAACTGAGGTTGTTTAAAAATAAGGGCCAAGGACTGAGTTATCAAGGTTGTCACACACACATTCTAATAAACCCACAACATAAGTTTTAGAGTAGATCTCAGTTCCATCACACTGTTTTGTTTCACTTGGTTTAATTTTTAAATCTACAACTCAGAATGTTTCTTGAAAGAGGTAAAGAAGAGAAAGTACCAATTACTGTAACTGCAGTCAGTTTCTCTGGTTTAAAGTGTGGAAGAAAACCAGTTAAGAATAAGCATACTTCCGAACACTCTTTTCTGCTACAAGTTGAAAACGAATTGACATAAAAAGAACTGGTCTTGGTTTTTTACAATATACCTCTTCACCTTTGTTGGTATTTAGATTGTATGATATTTCCTGCCAAAGCAGACTTCAGAGAATCTCACTGTTACTGTAACAACAGTGAAAATACTAGGAAATAGTATAATTCCTTAGTATTATAGACAGACAGAATGACTCAGTTTCTCTGGGTTAGAATGAGACTGTTTCTGAAGCAGGACAAATTTACTTGGACTAAGAAAACAAAATCAATTTATTTTTAGGAATTACAAGCACAATATTAATTTGAGTAAGTTGAATAGACTGTTGATTCTTTTACTCCTCCTTGAATGCAAAGGCCCAATGTGATGTTCATTTGTTATCTCACACTTCTCTTCCTTTTGTCTTGATGCTGAACTTAATTAATAAATCATTACAAGTGCATAGCATAATCCTAATTTCCAATGTACACATTGCCTCTCCTATAATATTACTTCCCTCTGTTCTTCCATTCTTCCATCCCTTGCCATTTTTAAAATACAATCACATAGTTTTTGGGTCCATCATTGTGAAAAAATTCACCCTTTGCATTCATCTGTTGACCTCTTCAAATTCCAGATAATACCGATCTACTACATTTTTATACAGTTGAATAATGTTATACATAATGCATTTTAAAAGATAATGGATGACACTAAATATCTTTCCTTGCTTGGTCTGACTGGTGTGTAAAGCTGATATGTGTGGCACAGCTGATCACACGTATTTTGGAGTGGTTAGCAGACCACAAGTTAGTAGAAATTTTAACCTTTCCATATTAAAACACAAAAAATCTCAGAAAACTATTTAAAATAACACCAGCAGCTCAGACATGAGATTTTGTATTTTCAAGTTTGTGTCAAAGTACATTTGATGAGTGCATCACCAGTGTAAGTTCATCATAGTTGGAAACAATGATGTAGGAATAGTATGATATAAATTCTGGGAACTTACATAAGCTAGGATTTGATGTCAGTGTTATCTTTACAGTATACTTTTTTTCTAATCATTTTATAATTAAGGAAGTACATTTTATCAGCTTCATTTCTTGAAATCTGAAAACGTGATCTATTTTTTTTTTAATTTAATTTTGTATGGTATGAACCACTTGATGATGTCAGTTCTTACAAACAGGACAAATGGCCAGTCATATCCATAGCTTAAAGTCTTCATGACACAAAGTATCTTTTTCAGCTGTAACATGATTTTGCTCCACCACTCAGTCAGAAAAGTGTTACAGATGGAGGAACATAGGAAGGACTAATTTCTCTCATTACTGAAAGGCAGCAAACTCCCACTCTTAGCAGCTTTTCAACAACAAAGTAGAACAACTTACTATATTGCCTGTTTTCTTGTTGTTTGGGGTTTTTTCATCCATTCATCTTTTACAAATGGAAAGGTTTGGTTTATCTACTGTCAGTATATAATCTCATCTATGATTAATATCCAAGCAAGATCTATTTTTTCCATAGTTCACTTCCTCAGCTTTTTATGTTCCAGAGACATTTAGCAGAAACAATGAGATGCAGCTGTAATTTTTTTATATAGCTCTAAAATATTTTACTTAACACTGTCTATCTATATAATTTTTGTGATATTTCCTCCAGCTTTGTGGCTTTAAAACCTCTATTCTGTCTGTGCTTCATTATCTGACTTTCTGGTTTTTTATCCTGTTGCCATGCCAGTTTAAATGAAGCCTTTACTATTCCTCTCTTTATCTGTCAGTGTTTTAATAGTTTCATATTTGAACTACTTTATCCAATATAAATGAAAAGTGGCTCATTTTCTTACAGGTACATGTATTGAAGACAAAGATTTTGTATCTCAAAAATATTATTTCTCTGTTAAAGACCATGGGTAGTGGATGTGTGCTTAAGAGATTTCACTTTGATCTGATTAAGATCTTCTGATCACCCTTATATTTCTTTCTCTTTCCGCAGTCTCTCCAGGGTCCAAATGGTTGTCTTTTGTGGAAAGTCCACTAGGATTTCCATATCTCTATTAGCATTAGAGTAAGCCAACTGAATGTAAGATCTTACCTCCCAGTCTTATATTCAATTTTTCTCAGCACACAGTGGAGCAGACAACACACAGCAGGTCTCAAGGGCTTTCTGATAACCACTATTCTTCCACATCAGGAAGACTTCTCAACTCCTACATTAAAGAAGCTCTGCAGCTGCCTTTTGCAGTCATGTCAGGGACTGGAGATCTGACCCAAAACACACTGTTTCTTAAGCAGACCTATACAGTCTCCCTTCAGTCTCTTTTTCTCCAGGCTAAACAAGTCCAGTACCCTCAGATGTTCCTCATAACACTTGTGGTTCAGACCCTTCACCAGCTTTGTTGCCCTTCTCTGGACATGTTCCAGCACCTCAATGTCCTTCTTGTAGTGAGGGGCCAAAACTGAACACAGTACTGGAGGTGAAGCCCCACCACTGCCAAGTATGGGGAACAACCACTTTCCTAGTCCTGTTGGCCACCCTATTGCTGATACAAGCCAGGATGCCATTGGCCTTCTTGGTCACCTGGACATACTGCTGGCACATATTCAGCTGGCTGTCAAAGAGCACCCCCAGGTCCTTTTCCTTTACGGCAGCTTTCCAGGCACTCTTCCCCAAGCCTGTAGTTTGGCGCGCAGTTTTTGTGACCCAAGTGCAGGACCAGGCACTCGTCCTTGCTGAACCTCATGTAGTTGGCCTTGGCCCATCAATCCAGGCTGTTCTGGTAGAGCCTTCCTACTCTCAGGCAGATCAACACACACACCCAACTTGCTCAGCCGGGTGGCACAGCTTCAGGATGAAGTGATGGAGCTCAGGGAAGAGTTGAGTAGACTGAGAAACATCAGGGAGAGTGAGAGGGAAATTGACTACTTCCACAAACTGATCTCAACAAAAACAGGACGTGAGGCAACTCTTAGTGGAGAAGAGGATTCCATATCCTCTCACCAGCAAGCCCACAGCTTGCCAAAATAGTTGCCGTGACACCAGTGTCAGAGCCGTGTATTAATAGACTACATTCTTCTGTTCGTTCCAGTTTCATTGCCTATGCATACGTTCCACTGCCACTGAAACAAATTCTATTTTTTAGATTTGAGGTATAACTGTTTTAAGTCCTGACAGAATTCCCTTGTCTTATCCTTTCCAGTTACTGGAAGCCAGGATGCACTAGCATTTCCCACTGTCTGTGAGCTGTTCCTGAATACAGTGTCCACTTTCCAGTATACTGCTGTTTAAACTTTGGTAATGGTCTATTGAACAGAGCCAGTCTGAAAATGAAAAATATATTTGTTTATAAAATCCAGTTCTCCTGCTAGCAACCAAAACAAGAGTTAGTACAACTCAGCAGGTACTCAGAGTTACTTTATCTTCCTCTCCTAAGCTACAGGCTTGATCCAGAAGTCAGGCTGAGGTGGGAGGGGGGAGGAAAGGGACAGATTTGCTATATGTCAGCAATCTTAGTATCAGGACTACTATATTATTTTATTTTTCTGGGAATCCTGCTGACAACAGAGAGTGAACAAGAAATACCAAAAGAAAAATAAGTTTGGCTACTGTATTGGTTTACCCAGAGACATACTCATATTTTCATAGCAA